CAGCAGGTTGTAGAATGAGGCCCGGCTGAGTTTCAATTGAGTTGTCCCGTTGTATTTGTCTGAAGTCAGATGAAAGAGGTATCAGTTGCTACTTTCCCTCCTCATCTTTGATCCTCCCGTTGAAGACTCACTTTCATCTGAAAGTGTTCCCTTCACTTTGCCATGCCACATTCTTCAAAATGGCCTTCTCAATCGGAACGCTTCCTCGGTGTTCTTTCCTTTGCCTTAAATTGTTGTTGTTCCACATCCTTTACACATTATAAACCCTGTTCACAGGGTTCTCATTTCTTTCATGACTTCAACAGCCAAAGCTGCATTTTCTTGCTGTCTATTATCACCTCCACAGAGCACCGTGAGCAAGCATCGTAGTGCACACCCGAATCATGCTGTACTTCTGGCGTTAGGTGATAGTTTAACAAATTGTCTATGGTTTATTTCTAATTGTATTCATCCCACTGCCAGTTCAGGTTTAGCTTTTTGTTTAAAAGTTTATTAGTTTCGTTTATGAAAGAGCGAGAGACCCACACCAGGATCTCATGCCGTCGCACTCTCCTGGCCTTTCTAGCCAACACCATGTGTGAGTCTGATCAACTGGGGACCTGAGCCCACGATCTTGCAGATGAGCCCCCCTTCATTTGAACTGCATGCTACTGTGGTGCCCCAGAGCTGGACTGAGTTGTTCTTTAAAAGTTTTTTTTTTTTCCCCTTTGCAAACTTGGCAATCTGTAGTATAATATATAGATCATCCATTGCAATAACATCTCATGTTTCACTGAGTGATCTCAGAGACCAGATATTCCTTCTAGTCCGTTCATAGGACTTTGCATGTACATGGCCTGGTGGTTAAGGTGGCTGAATTGACATGACAGCACAGCGCAAATCTCTGATTTAATGTCTTGAAAAATGCACTGTGTGTGTGCCTCAAATCTCAAGAGGAAAAAGGAGAAGGGATTGTGTCATGGCCATCCCCCACAAGAGGTATTTTCTTTCTTTCTGTAGCTCTCTCTCTCTTTCCAGTGAGAACATGCACCCTACAGCAAAATTAAAAAAAAAAAAAGTTCACATCTCACTCATCTCACTTCTGCTGCCTCCAGTTGAACGTATGCATGCAGCTACTTTATGATGGACAGCACTAAACTCCTGCCAAGTTTGATGATTAATAGCCAGGCTGCTGCCGTAATAGGGCTGTTCCAAGAACTGAGAAAATGCATTTAGTCATCTGCCCACTCTCTCCATTAAATTTAATTTATGGACTATGGATTTAGTGTAGG